TGCGTGTCTGTGTGTGTGTGTGTCTCTGTATGCAAACCACACAGACACCGCATACAAATGCCTACCTCCATTGCCTACCTACCTACCTGCCTACCCGTCTGCATACCTGCCTGGCTGGACCTAGCTCTCTACGACCTACCTACCTGCTGAGCTACGCACTCGTACGACCATGCAACAGACATCTTAAACAATAAAAAGGTAAGCGGTATCCTACCAGTTTATGAGTTAAGAAAGAGTTTTTTTAAGGCTCCCTTCCTTGGACTCCTTAGTGGCGCGGAGCAAAGTCCAATCCGAGTGGCGCCGCACTGTGCGTCGTTCCCCGGTGCCTTCGCACAAGGGAGAGTTCTGCGATACCGGGGCCTTAACAACGAGAATAAGGGTAGGGGGTCTGCTATAATTAAGAGATTATTGAAGTATAGGGGTTAAGGGCTTAGGAAACCCCTAAGCCCAAAACCCGAAGTCATAGTAAGAGCAATAAGGAAGCCTAAGACAAAGCATTGGTAATCATTCAGAGCCGTACACCGGTAGCCCAAAACCTTTCAAGCAAACACGAAGAAACAAAAACAGTAACACTGGGTTTAGGGGTTTAGTTAGGGGGAACTATCGACCGTTGCCATCTAGGCCTAGGTTGGTCCAGGCGCAAAGAGAAATCCTACCATCACTCCGACTCCCGCAGCCTTAAGCCGTTGAATCCCTCAACCTCACACCATCAAACCGTAGGCTTAGGGTTTAGGGCTTAGGGTCGAAACCCTAATCTAGGACATTTTCAGGTGGGTAGCTACCGTTATAGGAGCCTTATAGAAGGTCTATATGCCTTATGCAATCCTTAAAGAAGCCCTATATACCCTAACTCCCCACCTGTAGTTTCCTTTAACCTACACCCTAAACCTAATCAAGCCCCAAAGCCCCAAGCCTTCAGTCGCATCCCAGGAAAGTTGAAGTTATCAGCTTCTCTTTCACTTTTTGAGCGAGGGGGTTTAGGGTTTAGGGACCCTAAACCCTAAACCCTAAGCCCTAAACCCCTAAACCCCTAAACCTCAGGGAGGGCAACAAACATGCCGTCAACTCGCGCTCAGAATTGAGAGTGGCGCCGGCGAAAGTGGGGGAACCATCAGAGCGAGCCTTTCACTGCGAAGCCCTAAACCCTAAACCCCAAACCCAAAGCCCCAAACCCCTGCCCCCACTCTAAAGCTTAGGGTTTTGGGGTTTGGGTTTAGGGTTTAGGGTTTAGGGGCCTAAATCCTAAACCCTACAGGCGACGCCTCAAATTGAGACAATTCTCCGAAACAGGAGCAAACCCCTGATCCGATGCCCTAGAGGGCTCAGAGTTTCAAATGGCCTTACCCAAAGCAAGTCATGGTAATGTTGGGGTCTTGATAATTAGAATAGGGTTTTGGGGCCCACTATACTAATTATACTATAATCATAATAAGGAGCCCCCCCCCCCCCCCCCAAAAAAAAAAAAAAATTGGTAAAAGGGGGATTCTG